CTGGAAGCCGATTGTAACACCTAAATGTTTGCTAATTAAGCGAGCTGCACAGTTTGATGGCTGTGGTGCAGTGAGCGGAGCAGCCGACGGCGGTGGAGCGGATGTGTTATGCTGATTATTCTTTGTGCTTATTTGGTGGCGTTCTCACCTTGTTCTGTGTCACCTCTGAATGTCAGCGCCACACGGTGGAACACTGATGATCACAACCTTCTATTTATGGCCCGCTGGAATTTTTAGGCTGAAAACGAGGTTTCACTTCAGTTTGGAAAAAGAACTCAACCGTAGTTGTCTGTCATGGAAGTGGATCAGACACAAAGAACTGGACCAGGGTCAGAACTGGACCAGGGTTAGAACTGGACCAGGGTCAGAACTGGACTGAGGTCAGAACCAGACTAAGGTCAGAACTGGACTGAGGTCAGAACTGGACCCGGGTCAAAACTGGACCAAGGTCAGAATCAAATCGAAGTCAGAACCGGACCGGGGTCAGAACTGAACCGAGGTCAGAACCGGACTGGGGTCAGAATCAAACCAAGGTCAGAACTGAACCGAGGTCAGAACTGGACCGGGGTCAGAACTGGACCGAGGTCAGAACTGGACTGAGGTCAGAACTGGACCCGGGTCAGAACTGGACCAAGGTCAGAACCGGACTGAGGTCAGAACTGGACCGGGGTCAGAATCAAACTGAGGCCATAACCGGACTGGGGTCAGAATCAAACCAAGGTCAGAACCGAACCGGGGTCAGAACCGGACCCGGGTCAGAACTGGACCGAGGTCAGAACCGAACCGGGGTCAGAACCGGACCGGGGTCAGAACCGGGCCAAGGTCAGAACCTGACTGGGATCAGAACCGGACCCGGGTCAGAACTGCAGGATTTTATTGTATTAAAATTCAGGTCTCTTATCGGTTCTTCAACATGAAAATTCACTCTGTGAAGGCAACTCTAAAAGGTACCACAGGAGGCGCTCTTAAGTGTGTGGTGTGTTGTTCCTCAGGGGCACGAACCCAGGACCTCGTGCGTGTAAGGCAGGCGTGATAACCGCTACATTATGGAACCACAGAAGTACTACGGGCGTGTACTGTCAACAGGCTGGAGATACATTACGTATCATTTATTATCACTTATATTAAAATGCGTTTAAAGTAGCTCGTTCAACTCATGCATAGCACCCCCTGCAGGAAAGGGAGAGGCAGTAATCAGGCTGTCACTTTGGCTCAAACAAAACTCAATATATTGCAGTACCTACAGTATCACAGTACATCGTATCGTGATACATACTGTAACATATCCTCAGATTCTCACCAATACAGACCCCTAGTGTGCAGTATGCAGTACTACCCCCCCTCCCCCCCCCGTTAGAGGTGCCACACACACAGAGAACCAATGTTTCTGAGCTCCACTGCAGCTGCAGAGGAAAAGTTGCCCTTCACTTCCTCCAAACTCTGCAGTGGAACTCACAGCAGC